AAAGTGAAGTCTCCTATGTTGTCTTCTCCATGGGAAGGCCCATATGACATAGTGCCAGCGCTTAGCCTCTGATTTTTGGCCGCGGCATAGCGGCTGATGGAGAAGCTCCGAGTTTTTGAAGTACAGACTTTTAGCTTATAGCTCCGTCATCTCATGACCGATTAGAGATCTAATTACAGTTTACGACTCAGGAGGTCAAAATTTTTTGATTGATGTATTTGACCACGTCCAAGGTCTCATAGATAAATTTACTCTAATCCTGCCTAAAAGAATTTCAAGTGCCGCAGCCGTTGAGGATTCCCTCTTGTTGATATAAAAATACTTACACACACTTTCATTGCTTTCTTCTCTATAATGCAAAATTAAAACGTGCTTAATGTTAAAGTATGATGCTGAAACTAACTGAAAATTTTTGTGAGCATAAATTGCTGTCTTGCCTTACTCTTGAAAAGAACTCATGCATATACACAATTTCGTCGTGTAAATAAAATTATTGCTTATAACTGTTTAAATATATGGCGATACAAATTTCCATGAAAAGAGTATAAATATCATCACTAAAATATAAATTCATTTTCCATTAAAACGTGAAAAAAACCTCTAAGTATAGTATATTAATTATAGAAGTGGTCGATAACACTTGATATGTTTTTATTATCCTAAATTATATATATAGCGTGCACATATTTTGAGCATGGTGTTTTGCTTAGAAGTGTTTACTCAAAATGGTTTTTGTCACAATTATTTTTTTAACCCGTACAATGATACCACCTTTTCAAATTATTGTCCTACTTTTCTAAAACGTTAAAAAGTCAAATTTTATCAAAACGATACCCGTGTAGGTTATTTCATTAAGGTGTTGTCAATATATTACAACAATTTTAATCATTTATTTTTATTTTCATATTATTTTACATTGTTATCATATTTACTTACTAGCTGGAGTTACTGTCCCCTGTATGGAAGCTATGCAAATTCATAATTAATGAAAGGTTATCTTAGGACATGAAAAGTTGCTTCCCCTATATGTAGTTGTAAAAAAACGCCCATAAAAACGCAAAATGTGAAACCGCAAGATCGCATGTATCTCCGCATGGACCCAACAAACTTTCATGCCATATTTGGTGAAGGTCCATCAACAGGGGGCAAAGTAGTAGTAAAAAAATGCAAAAACGCCCCTAAAAACTTGCAAAACGCAAAAAATGCAAAACCAAAAATTTATATGTATCTTCCCGTGGACCCAATGAATCTCCATACCAAATTTGGTGAAGATCCATCTAAAGGGGAAACAGTAGTGGTAAAAAACGAAAAATAGAAAACTAAAAATGTTTATATACCTCCGCAAGGACCTATTGAACCTTCATACCAATTTCGTGCAGATCCATTCACACTCTGCGAAGTAGTTACTTGGACATACAATAGACAGTTCTACTATAATTATATAGATTCATAAACTCATTTGCACTGTGTTTCTAATAACTTATTGGCTCAGACGTAAAAAAAAGTTATTCAAATATTTTACAAATCCATGTTGAAAATTTCGTATGACATCCAAGATTGCCATTAGTGAGAATACGTTTTCAACTATCTTTTTAAGTTGTTAACAAGCTGAAATGCATTGAAAATACATGATAACTAAAGAGTACTCTTTTATTTTAAATATTATTGATTCAGGCTGGATACAGGTGCCGGGCGGGTGCACCCCTTTTTGAAAATAAAATCAAATTAATTGTAAAACTGGATCTTTGAGGAGGGAAGAATGTAGTGAAATTTCATATTAAATTAAGAAAACAAAAAAAAACAATTACAACAACATCTAGCAAACATTATAATAAATCTAAATAATCCATACAACCCCTACCAGGAAGTCCCGAAAATTCCTCGTTTACGTTCAGAATCATCGCGCCTTCCCGTTTTCAAAATTCTGGATCCCCCACTGATCTGAGTTGTATAAAAATATCACCATAAAGACAGCAGTATATTTTTTGTATCTAACAGTATAACAAGTTTCTGCATATAAGGCAAGGTTTGACCCGGTGATTAGTGTGCAGGGATGCTGACGAAAAGGTCCAAGGTTTGAACGGTGATATACCACTGATTACGCTTTCCACCATCAGCTAGAATGTGTGTTTTTATAAATGTGACGTTATTATAGTAATTTCGTTAAGACTATAAGTCTAAGCAGTGAAACAACTGACTGGTTGCTATGCCTGAACCACGGGGGTCTAAGACATGACTGAGTCGCATACAGG